ATATTGTGTGTGTGAGAGGCTGATGTATGTGCGTGCGTGTCTGCGGTGTGTGTGTCTGTGCGTCAGTGTATTTATACCTATATGTGTACACGTATGCTTACCTTGTTTAAGCAGTGCGTGTACTGCGACCGTATTTCCGGTCTCGGCGGCGCGATGGAGAAGCGATTTGCCGTAGTCCATCTTATTCTTAAAGTTGACATCGATCTGTGACTACGTATAGATACGCAATATATATTGTGAGACGTAATCCCAAACCAATGACCTGTGTTTCACAATAAATCACTCGAGGGATTCCTTCTTGTGCCGAATGCAAATAACAAACAGAGGTGCGACATTGGATATACAACAACAAGAACGTGTTACACGATACAGCGCACAGTGACTTCAGACTTCATTGGCACCACCGTATGAGCACTACACCGAACGTTTTAAATCAACCGAAAAGCAGTACAATGATTCATACACGTATAATAGTACCTGATCAACGGCATCCATTGTCGCTTGCTTAAATCCCATTTGTTTGTACAGAGCCAGCGACTTACGGGCCCGTGCTGCCGTGTTAGTCGGCAATGCTGTTGGTAGAGGAGGATCTCGAATTAGACTCCGTGTGTGTATGCATACAAGAACACGTATAGAAATATATAGGAATATATAAAATATATAGAAATTTTGAAATTTACATATATATATATACACACACGCACACACGCACACACACACACACACACACACACACACACACATATATATATATAAGTGAAGCAGCACACACCTGCCGAAGCACCCCCCTCCTTTGCGGCCATCTGTTTGTCATTATATTTCTGGATGTTTCGCTTCCACTTCCGTTCGCGCCGTTCTATTTTATTGCGTTCCATCTCAGTCATCTCTTCGTCAGACACAATGAACTCGTCCTGATCATCGTCGTCGTCACCAGAGCCATCGTCAACCTAGGTGCACCATCAAACAGGATCGTTATGTACACTGGCAGTAGGTACATTCTATATTAAGACGCAGGTACTATATATATTTATATATATATACATTTCAATATATATTTCCCTTTGTTTCATATGCGGTGCCAAGTCATTGTGTTTCATATGGGAGTAATATTATTATTCGTACGCCTCTACATACGAAATGGTCATGTACACTGATATACATTGCATATATTGTACATTGACATGTGACTCTGTGTATGACATTCCATACGAGATATTAACGGACAAAGTCAGAACAAACATATCTCCATATGTAGGTAGTACATCTCTTTGTTTCACATGTAGGTAAATTTCTATTGTAGTATATCTCTTTGTTTCGTATGTAGGTACATTTCTATTGTAGGCAGTATATCTCTTTGTTTCACATGTGGGTATATTTCTATTGTAGTATATCTCTTTGTTCATATGTAGGTATATTTCTATTGTAGGTAGTATCTCTTTGTTTCACATTTATGTATATTTCTATTGTATTATATCTCTTTGTTTCGTATTTAAGTTATACTTCTATGGTAGGTAGTATATCTCTTTGTTTCACATGTAAGTATATTTCTATTGTAGGTAAACATTTCCTTGGTACTATTTTTATTTACCTGACATAGTAGACAGGTCATCATTAGAAAGTGTCTGAACATACACTTTGTATACATATGTGGGTGCAGAAAGTGTCAAAACATACGTGTACGCGTTACGTTGATATGCGGGTGCCTGATTCCTTGTATAAATACCCTTTTGCAGGCACAGATATTAACTATTTCACTTTACTCAAACATACCACCTGACAACAGACACGTACATTTTTATCGCCGAATGTACATGCGATAGAGGTTCATACACTGATGCGATGTCACCTCGCGACATTGTATACTGACACTCATCACATACATAAATACACACATCTATTAATATAATGTACTCCCTAGCACATTCATACAGATACATATACACACACATCTATCACTAAAACATTCTCACCTCACCTTCGCTGTAGAGGGTCATGAACTGCCATCATATACAAGCATAGTCATACACATGCATTTATACACATATACATCTCTAGAATGTACTCACCTCACCTTCGCCGTAGTTGGTCATGGGCTGCCATCATATACAAGCATAGTCATACACATGCATTTATACACACGTCTATCACTAGAACATTCTCATCTCATTTTTGCTGTAGAGGGTCATGAACTGCCATCATAGTCACATACATACATTTATACACAACTATCTCTAGAATGTACTCACCTCATCTTCGCTGTAGAGGCTCATAAACTGATGTGACGTATCCAGAGTGCCCCTAGCCACAGCCTGGGTCAGCGCCATCTTCTGCTCGTGTACATGGGTGCTCCTGCGCGGTCTATGGGCCTTTTCTGCGGTTCTCGAGTTGTCTGTATCCCATCAAACAACCCAAAATGAGCATAGTAATCTTACTATCCCAGAACCCAACAATCCAAATTTAGCATAGCAATCCTACGATACAGAACTTTCTTCTCGTTCAAAGCAGAATAGGTACGAGCGCCATTGCATTGTTTCTGTAGTATCTGTGAGTGTGCTCCGTGCGTGTCTGTAGTATCTAGCGGTTCTGGCCGTTTCAGTATGTTTAGTGCAAAGGGTCTTAGATCAAACCAATAAACTTTTATGAAAAAGAAAGAGGATTGCGAGGAAGCGGAAGGGGGGGGGGAATAAATGGGGGGTTATTTATTATGTTTTATTGCACAGCGATTAGTCTCTCCGTTCGTAATCGAATGATATGGGCGCACAACTTTTCTCCACATACACAATCCCCTACAACCACATGGTGAAACCACCTTTGCTTTCTCCGCCAGCCAGGTCTAATTCCTCCTCTCCCGATGTGCTGCACTAATTACACTCTTGAAGCTTATACTACATCCCACTAAACCTTAAACCTTGAGTAAACCCTAACCCCCAAAAACCCCGATATAAAGAAACACAAGGAACATCGACATATACACATACTCATACACACATTCTTATATGCATACATCATCAATATGCACAGCCAGGAATATAATCATCGAGAATACTGACCCTTCTCTATCGGTCAAGTCTGCTTCCTTCTACACTCTCACTTCCCTGAAACCCTACACCCCACAAATCCTATATTTGTTTGTAGCCATGTTTTGTCGTATTCATTGAAACAGTACGCGTAACTACTTAGGGTTTTACCAAACCCTAAAACCGACGGCAGTGTTTACATGGACCGATTTTAGGGTTTTAAGGGTTTGGGGATTTTATGGTTTTGGAACTTTAGAGTTTTAGGGTTTTACTAATTTGATGAATCTGTTCATATAGACAGTCATGTATACATTCGTGTGTGATACCAACCGTCGCCCTACTCATCGGACGAGTCCTTTAAGTTGTACCGTTTTGCGTTAGAATATAGAACATTATATTCCCAAATACACATTTCACACGTACTATAGCTCCACATTCAGCCGATACATACCTCAACCCTAATACTTTGTGTCATACATATATATATATACCCATGCTAACCCCCCACTGGCACTTATCTCACCCACTAAAGCAACCGATTCGTTAGAACACGCATACTTTGTCCCAAAAAACAGCCGTATAAAATATA